TATATATATATATATATATATATATATATATATATATATTCCCCTGTTTTATTTTGGACAAACAACTTTATCCAAAGTGAAAATGAGATTTAAACATTTAATTATAATTATAAAATTATAATTTTAAAAACTAAAATATAGTTATTAACTCAAGGGAAATGACATATTAAAAACTTGTTGGTAACATGAGAATAAACTGTGGGTGAGACAAGTACACAGGTTAGCCAGCATTCTCCTTAAGATAGCCACAAGAGGTCTACAAACAAGCCCTCCTTTGTCATTGTAGCTCCCATGCCCCAAATATATAGAAATAGTCTGTCCTGTGCTTTGATGTAGCACCCAATAATCAAATCTTCATTGCTACACTGATTCTGTATATCAAGCCATTATTTATTTTTGTTAAACGGAACAGTATAAAATTTGCACAACAACAGTTATCTATAGTGCTGATCTTACTTTGTATCATGGAAAGTCTGAGGCCCCAAAAAAATAACAGGGAATGGAAATTGGATACAAATGGAGTGAGATTAAAAGGGTTTGATAGCATTCAGTTATCTGAATCATGTTGTGTTTTTTTGCAATCTTAAAGTCTGTTTGGCAAAAGTCTTCTGCCTCACTGAAAATAAGCTAATGGAACAAAAAATAATAATAATACCTGATTCAACATCAAGAGAGTACTTATCAATAGCCAAGTTCATAGTCTGATAGGCCGTGTTGCAAAAATCTTCCAGAATCATGTACACAGAATTTGTGACATTGCGAGGCACAGGCCGTGCAAATTTCATTCGGCTGTTAACCACAATACTACCATTCCTGAAGTTCAGAATTTCCAGATTCTGGAAGCCAGTTAGATTTGATTGCAAATAAGGAACCAGCTATAATGCAGGAAAAACAATATATAAATGAAATAGATATAAATTAAATATAAATATAATTCATATATCTACCCATTCATTCTGTGTTAACCCATTGCCCTAAACTATAATGGGATTCATAGGATCTGCCTTAATATGATGCATGAGCTTAGCTTACACTGATTGTACATTATAAACTATGTTATTATTTAATTTCATGTGTGAAATAGGCTTCTCAACGAATAGGTTGGTCAACAAATCAGTAAACACTGGCTTAATAGAATGAAGATTAGTCCATGAGCTCTACATGATAATGTATGTATTGTATGCATATTCCTGGTTATATATCTTTTTAAAAATAATACTATCAATAACTGTGCCACATGTGGAGAAAGCTATTTAACTTTATAACTGTGCATATGAATTAATTTTACTAGTGGCAGATATAGTGACAAATGCAAGGTACTTTTTCATTATTTCTAAATAAGACAGATCAAGATATTCTAGGATAGGGAAGTGACCAATCAGTATTTTAAAGGATCTCAAAGAGAACAAAGTATCACAATTTTTTTTAGGAAAGTTAAATTCCTTTGCACAGGCAAAAAAATAAAGTTAAACCATTTAAGGCAAAAGCATACATTAAATTGATAAGAAATAGATGCACTTATAAATACCATAACCATTCCAACCCTAGTATATGCTTCTACAGGTAGATATCAACAATTTTTGCTGAATAAACCTTTCCCTTTACCTGCTAACCCTTTTATTTATTGTTATTATGCAATGCACATTATAGGCAATGTATGTTGATAGTTAACAATAAAACATATTCCAAAGTTTGAGTTAACTAATACAACAATTAAAGTAAGAATATGTCTGTAACAATTGCATTTAATGTTAGTTCATTGATTAGCTATAGACAAGCAATATTCAATCGTGTATGAAGAAGGTAGATCTGATTGTTTGCTGTAAATTGTCTGTGTTAGTGAACTGAAACGAATATAGCACGTTAAAGGGCAAATTAGCCATTGCATATCATTGTTAAATGTTACTATTGTGTAATGGGCTTCTTCAGTTACTGTCTTATAAACTGTCCTACAATAACTGAGTCATGTATGCCCCTCCAATGCTAAAACAATAACAACCAGTAGAAATAATAATTTCTTACCAGTTCTAGAAATCTTTGCTCCAGAGCTTTATATTCAGGGGAATTTTTGTTAAACAAATCCTCTGAAAAAATCATGTTAGTAACTCGAAGGCTAAAGAATACAACTAAAGCACGTGCAGGGATAGTTACGTTGTTGAGATTTTCAGGAGTAATCCTAGATATCCCAACCATTTCAGTAGAATGGGGATTGGTTGGTAATTCTACATGACTATCAATCACAATTCCGTTTTCCCAGTTCATTTCATGGGAATAATAAGTTGTGACTTCATAGGCTTGATCTGTAACTTCCAGTTCTTTTGTGACCAAGTCTTTTTCAGGTTCAGGTGATTGGATCACTGGGCTTTCCATAGTAGAATATGCTGATAAAATTATTTCCGGCTTTTCTAATTCTTTTCTTGTAATGGTTGTATATGACTGATTTTTTAATGACTGTTCTGTTAATATTAAGTCATTGATTTCTGTTATTTCAGAAATGATTTCATTCCCCTCTGTGGAAGGCAATTTTATTGTGCTGTATATTTCCGTAGATGGCACAACTCTTTCATCTGAGGTGACTTCTGTGTCAAGAGATGATTGGGAAATAGTTGCATCTAGTATATCCCGAATTATGTCATCCTTTGGAGAATATGGTGTAAAATATGTTTCATTATAGTCAGGCATACCAGATCCCTCAGTTTTCGCCCAGGTCTCTAAGTTGGTTTGTGGCTGCTGTCCTGAACCAGAACCATAATAATCAATAGTATCCTTTTCTTTATTTATAGACGATTGCTGAGTTTCTTCTTTTAAAGAAGTTGTAAGTAATTCTTCCTCAGTGCTAGGCTCTACTGCTAAAACAGAGGCTGTTGGTGATGTAAGACTGAGAGGAAATGCAGAATCACTTGTAGGTAGAATTTCTTTTGGCACAATGTGAGGGAAAATAGTTGAAGGCACAAGCAAACCTTCCACCTCTTTCTCTTTTTCAAGTCCTGAAAAAAAAATCAATGCATAGTTATGAATGCATTTTGTGAATGCACCATATTGGATTTTGTGTCTTAAGAAACCCAATGTTATCCTTTGTTGCTCAGCAATTACTGCAGTTTCTTTAGGACAGATTCACTCTTGTATCAATGACAGAAATTCTTCTCTTTTTTCCAAATCTTTAAGATAGTTGCATTAAAACCAAATCAAAGTAAATGGAATAAAACTACACATTTTAAAAGTGTATATCCCTTTCATTTAAAAATACTTCTAATTTAATTTTAAGAATAAAATATGAAATATACATATATTTCAATTAATTCTAAAAGCAGTAATCAATAACAAGTCACTGATGTAATACGGGGGGGGGCAATAAAAAGCAATTGAAATTGTAATAATAAAAGAGCAAAAGCAAAATGTATATGACAAAAGAATGGCAAATCTGTAAACCAACTTAATTTTAATTTAGTTAAAACAAGCTAGTAACCTATGCAGATCAATCAAAATTGCTACAATATGTCTTATAAATACTGACAACTGCAATTTGCATCAATTACATTTGCAAACTTCAGCAGGGATTCCCCTTCAGGCAAGACAGACCTATGGAGTACATTACACTAATCTAATTTGTAGGAATTTAGAGCATAAATGACTGCTGAAGGTTGCTATTCTGAGCAGCTATATACATCTAAATAAATAAATATTAGTAGTTAGTGATGGATTTCCAAAATTTCTATTTTGTTCTGAGAAATTAAAAATTAAACCAAAGGGATTTCTGTAATTTTTAAGAAGATATATTATATTATATATTCAAGAGAGATGGGCAATGAAAAATATGAAATATAAATAAATAAATATTTCTGCACAGGACTGCAATTATAAATGTGACTTCTCTATCAATGCAATTAAAATATTTTCTATCATGGTGCCAAAATCTGACACTGTCTGTCTGATTGTGAAAAGTTGGTCATTTCAATTAATTCTTGAGGATCAGTTTTGAAGTAGCTAATCAAGAACTCAGGCAAAAATGCTTTGTTCATTTTCACATCTGAAAAAAATATATTATTCTAAGTCTTCTAATTTATACAAACAAGTCAACTTACCAATGTCTAACAAAGACAAATTAGAATGACTTTCCAAGTCTATATGGGAATCAGTTTCAAAGAACAACGGTGTCCCAGGATGTATTTTTTCTTTTTCATCCATAAAAAGCAAATCTTCTGGGGAAATGGTGATATCAGTTTTTGAATTGAGAACACTTTCAGAGTCCACAGAACCATCTGGTTTTATCCACACATTATTGTCACTATCAAAGATAAGATCTGGTCCTGGCAAGTCAAAGGGCAAGATGTTGCTTGCAGTTGACTTATCAGCAGAAGGCCATTCAGATACTATGGCATCATCCTAAAATATAGACCCATAATGGTTACAAACAATGTTGATAATAATAATGCCTCAAAATATCTTATAGTTTACTCCCACATCTCATTATGTATACAATTTCCAACAAAAGTATGGACAAATCAGAATTCTAAATATATCATGGGTTGTGACTTCTTAAATATGTCATCAAGGGCATCTGGAGGGACAGTGGTTGCAAATGACAAAACCAGTATCATACTGAAATTTTACAGGGTAGACCAGACTAAGAAACCAGTGCCTTGTAAATAGCAATAGCAATAGCACTTATATACTGCTTCATAGTGCTTTTACAGCCCTCTCTGTTTACAGAGTCAACATATTGCACCCAACAATCTGGGTCCTCATTTTACCGACCTTGGAAGGATGGAAGGCTGAATTAACCATGAGCCGGTGAGATTTGAACTGCCAAACTGCAGTTAGCAGTCAGGTGAAGTAGCCTGCTTCAGAACTACTTTTATTATAAGAGCAAATAACAATATAATTTTCCAAGTATGGATGTTGGTTTTTCTCCCACTTACTTTATCTTTCTGTGGTCTAAGAAAGGTCTTGTTTGAGATGTTAACTCTTCTACTTTACTATACTATTTTCATATTAGTGTTTAACAACTTCCTGCATCTTGTATTACTTTTGGGAGAAACTACAAGTTGAATATGTCAAATTAAAAAAGAAAAGAAAGAAACAAAATGCCATGAAACCTTTCAGACGATATTTTTGTACTTAAATGTAATGTTGAGAGAAACTAAGAAAGCTTCTTTATGTATAATTGTGTTAAAATATTACTACAATCCTATTCCCATAAAGCAGACAAAAGAGCTGCTTTTTTGTTAAATCCTTGTCACATGTTCAGTGATTAGTCCATCAATAATAAATGTTTTTATTTGAAATACAAGAAATAAGTAATATAATGTAAGAGAACCTAGAGAAAATGTGCACAATTATATGCCAAAATACCATAACCACAAAGTCTGAGGACAATTATTTTTAATAGAAATGTTTGGACCATTTATCTATAACTGTCAAGAATTGCAATTTAATTTTTATTTAAATGTAGGGACAGTATCTGATACTATTCAAAGATGTTGAAATCATTACAAAAATATATTTTGGGCATATTTTAGATTCTTTATACACAAATATACATACATTTAAAAGGCTATTCTGAAAAATATTTCACAAAAACAAAAGAATTAAACATAAAATCTACCATAAATAATTAAACCTGCAGATTAAATGAGCACTTGAGAGTCTTTGGAATATTGTTGAATTTTATCTTATCTTGCATTGAAACAGTTTAGATAATTGGGTAAATGTATATAATACTAAGTACTTTTTCGAGCAACTTTTTAAAACTCTTATGATATGAAATTTTCAAGATAAAATAAAAGTTGTAATCCAATAGTCTGTTGAGCATCCAACTGGGGAACATTGTGCTGGAATAAAATGGCAATAGAAGAAAATCAACTTACATCATCAATGGGTTTAGCAGTAATCCATGATGGGATTTCAGTCATGGAAACAGCCACTTCCTTTACTTAAGAAGGAAAATATTAAAAAGTAGTTATGAAACATGTTTATTTTTAAATTGTTTGCAGTCCTATTACCAATTAAATTCTATAGAGTCAGATCTACAATAGATATACATTCCGTGTTTCAAGGAACACAAAGGATATATTGAGTATATTATTTCTTTGATCAGAGTAAATAGAGCCACTAATAATTGAATACACATTTCTCTTTCTGTGTGTGCATGTTCTCTAGAATTTCACGTTCCTCTTAAGATTTTAGATTAGAATATAAGAATTATACTGTATTTCTTAAGCACGCACATAAAGACCTCAAACACAAAAGTAATAAATACGGGCAGAATATGCAGAGAACAAAAAGAATAGGTGTAATAATCAATATAAAAAGAATAAGAAAAGTAGATATAGCATTATTTGTATGGATTTATGTATAGATGTTTTCAAAGTTGGTTTAGTGGTTAAGGCACCAGACTAGAAAGTAAGAGATCATGAGTTCAAGTCCTGTCTTAGCCATGAAAGCTAGCTGGGTGACTTTGGGCTTCATACTATCATCTATCAAATTCTTAAGAGAAAAATGTTTTTGCCTACTTTAAAAGTGAAATCATTTGAGTGAATCGAAACTATATTTATATACCATTAATAAGTTGGAGAGAACCAGGATCCAAGGACAATGAAGCATTTTCAAATAGAATGTTCTTATGGAGGATCTCAGCAATGTAATGTCTGAAGTCACTATCTGTATAAACAACTGTAGAGTTGTCTTCAATTTCTGAAAAGGAGTTCTGTTCCACTTTGTTTGGCTGGAGGTTAATCCAATCCCAGATAACATTGCTCATTGCTTCCCTGTCAAAAACCACAGCATACAGGACTTCTACCCTGTTAAAGGGAGAATTAGAAAGATGTATATTGTCATTTAAACCCTACATTAGCAGTTACAGCTTATCTTTTGTTTACAAGTCATGTAATATATTTCTTTGCATCCCTTCTGATAATGACTACATTTTTGTAATTTAAGCATCAATCTAAATACTATTCTTATTGTCTAAGGGCAGCAGTTATATCTATTATATTACTTAAGGTAAGATGGTTTTAGCAAGATTTACACGTGCACAGATTAGTTTTATATTAACTGTAATTTCACTGAACATAACCCTTTCTAAAATGCAATTAGATTCAGAAGAAAGTGCAATTGATATCAACAATTATTAATGGATTATTTCAATGTATTTAGTAATATAAACTCTTCTAGTGTCATGGTTTTTGTTAACTTACCAACAAGTATTAGAAACATATATTTAAAGACATTGAATTTATTATAGAATGCTATAATTTATTGAAACAACTTTTTGCTGATTCAAGATAATTTTTCCTATAAATCCTATAAATTTTCCAAGAAATGGACAACATGTGATTAAAAGGAAACAAATAACTATCATTATGAAAAAAGTATTTTGAAATTTTATTTACCTGCTGTCCTGAGTTGACCTAAATGTTAAGGTAAGATAGAGAATACCTGTTATAAATTAGAAATATTGCTTCCAAACTAAAATTTATAAATCAAATCCTCCCATAAAACAAGAAAAGAGAAATTGAGATTTAATTAATGATACGTAAATTGCTTAGAATTTAAAATTTAGTGTATTGTTCTAAATTTAAAGCAGTTCTTGGAAACAGTGCTTTATATTCAATATTGACTTTCAATAATTTTGGAAGTAAAGATTAAAACAGTTCACTTCAGACACAACACAGCAGCTTTGAACTTAAAACAACTCATTCAAATTCAAAACCAGAGTGTTTTAAATTCAAAATGATATGAGCTCACATATCAGCTCTGACTTGGCTGTTCCCATGAAGCTGGCTCATTTCAAGGTTGGTTTGGCTTCTAGAAGAGAGGGATTTATGCTGGCTCTTCAAAACAAAATCAGATCTAAACTTCTTGCAATCTAGGAAAGTATGAGTTGCTTGTTTTTCTACTGCTTTGATCTTTCTCCCTGTGGCTTGCAGCTCTGCACCATAAACTAAGGAGTAGAGGAGTGTAGATAAAGATTTGGGGATTTATTCTGGGTTTCTTTATAGCTTTCATTCTGTCTGGTCTTTATTGAAAAGGCTTCTAGTCTCAGGATCTTGCAACAAACTCTTGTTCTCTGACTCTTCTCCTATTATAATGTAGCCAGCTAGGATCTAGTTTTGCATAGTCTGTATTTTCATAAATAAATCTGATAAAATTATAACCTTGCTTGACTAATCCTGACCCAGATTATATTCCTGTTCTTAGGAATCTTTATGCACAGGAATCTACAAACATGGCTTCAACCTTCCTCTGGCTTTAAGCAAGCCACAACCATCCCACGCACAGAAGGCTTTTATATTGCTATCAATGATGATTGCTTTTGTTAAAATATTTTATTGTAACAATACTTTCTTACTATCCTTTCAATTTGATAGCTAGCAGAAATTTTTAACAGAACAAAAGAAATTGTACATTTAGAAAGGCTGGCTTTCTCCCGTAGCGATTGTCATATTTTTACAATATGTTTTATAATAAATTTCAATAGGCATAAATTATGGGATCAAATTATGCATATAATTGTTTTGTGGTCTGTATAATTAAATAAGTATTTAAATAGTACTTAATAAGTATTTAAATAAAATGAACAAGTACTGTCCAATCTATAAAGTAGCCTTTAGGGGAGCAAACTAAACCAGTTTTGCTTTTTGATATATTTTTATTTCATTACTCATAATCTTAGCTATATGACTAATGCAAGTATACAAGTGTATACTGTACATCAACAGTGGAGCAAAGATAATATTATATAATGTTTATATTTTAAGCTTACATCAACTATATTGTATTCATTAACTGTAATGTATTTTTTCAACAAAAAGGGAGAGGCAAGGAGGCAACATATGAATTTCCATACCGACAATATTAACAATAAGATGCTTAATTTTCATTGCTTATAATATTTTATACCTGAATTCAGTTACATGGATATTCTTAAATCCAGGCAGTCCTTCATATGCATTCTGAATCTACATGAAAGATAGAAAGACGATCCTCAAACCATTTGATTTTCAGAACTCACTGTTTAATTCTCTCTTTCTCTTTCTTTCTCTCTTCCTCCCTCCCTCCTTCCGTCCTCTCTCTGTTATCATAATTCTGTTTACTCAATTATGCAGTTTCCAATTGTATTCCATTTAGGAATTGTTTTTTCTTAATCAAACTCCTGGAGGAAAGGAATTTATGCACTCAACATGCAAATGTAGCATGAAGTGCAGTTAAGAAAACACCATAAACACTGGTCTGATATAAGTGGTAGAACATTAATTTTAACAGTAGAAAATTCAGATCTGGAAGCTGTCAACATACCAAGAAGCTAAAGTAAGATTTATGGAGAAGGAACGAGATAAAATAATAATGTGAACAATTTTGGATTCTTTGCAATGAGAAGCACCATAGAAATATAATCAATTAATATAGTGAAGTGGATCTGGTAGCAAAATTATGAAGTCACAGAAACTGTCCCCCTATTCATACACAATTTGCAAATTTTTGAGTACAATTAGAACTTGATTTGGGGACTGACCATTTATGCTTACTAAATATTCCTCAGTAAATATTTCTTCCTTTTTTCTTCAAAAGGTAACAAATCTAATCTTTACCACTTACGAAAATTCCACAACTTTCATTAATTTCTTGTATGCTTTTTTTTAAATTCACATAATGAATTTCACTTAATGAAAAGTACAGTTTTCTCTTTATCTAAATCGTTTGTGGTTATTAGTAAGTTATTAGTAATAATGTAGTTATTCTTACTCTGAATCCAGCGCTTATTATAGTTAAAAAAATTAAAAATGAAGGAATTATGTAATCCACATCCCACATCAAGAATGCTTCGTCGGCAGAAAAACAATTTGACTATCTCAATATTCCTTCTTTCTCTATAAAAATATTTGATATACTTATTCTCTAGCCATAATGAAAACATTCTGCAGTGGGGAAAGATTATCTAAGCACTGTGAGAACATGGCAAGAGATAAGGGGGATAACTATAGCCAACCTGCCTGTCTGATCAGGCATTTATATTATGGCGTAGCTTCTTGGCTGTACAGTTAGAAAAATGATACTGTCTAGCTTACCGAGCCATATAACAGTTACAGTGATTTTCTGTGACTACACTATATATATTTTGCTCCATATGAAATGCTGTCAGAATACTAAATATGTATATTCATAAGCTTGTAAAAATATTGTAACCATTATTTCATAGATCACTCAACCCATGTTCTATTAAGTTAAACAATGGCATGCTTAAATAAATCCAGATTAAAAAGTATATTTGACCTTCAGATTCAGGACTGGTATAAAAATCTGTTTATATCAATTTTTCTAAAGAGGAAAAGCAAGATCTAAAACCAGTGCCTTCCCCTTAAGCAGTTATAATATAAATAGTTGCAGCATTATGACCAAGGACAGAAAATATGAGGAGTCAAGGATTGTTTATAGTTACAGCAAGAAATAACACATAGGGGGGGGGGGGAAATGCTGTCTTCTCAAATAACAGCGTTAAGCATGTGTGACCATTATTAATTCGTGTCTGGTTTAGGAATGCTGGAAAAGCTGGATAAAACATAGCTAATATTTCTCTTTTTACTTTTTAAAAACAAAAATATGATAAATACGATTGGTTACCCTGCATTTCTCTGTTGGCATTTAGCATGCTTATTCTGGATAGGAATAAAACAGGAATCCTTTCATTTTCAAGGCATCTTTCACAGACCACTTGAACCAGATATTATGAAGCTTGAGCAGCAACAATGAGCACTGATTGACTAATATTCTTAGATATGTTGGGTTGCCATTTTCAGTGTTCAACTATTAGCTAACTTAAATTGAGTTATCATTTTTTGATTAAGACTTGGGAAAGAGATTGTTTAGACAAGCTATTTACGCTTGCATATTATGAGAGAACAAATTTACTACTCTAATCCCAATTAGATAATGAGTTCTAATGTTTGTCTTAGCAAGGGGCCAATATTTTAATCTTCACTAATATATAACCTTTCCTTTTGCCTAAACTAAGCAGTTCTGGTTAAGTGGGAAAGAGAGGATGAAGCAGAGGTGGTATTCAGCCAGTTCTGACAGGTTCTGGAGTAACAGTAGCAGAAATTTTGAGTAGTTCAGTGAAGTGGCAAATAGGCTCTCTCTTCCCCCACCTCCACCCCCGTCTCCCAGTCTCCCAGCTGATCTTCTTTTGTTTCCCTGAACAGGAAAACAGATCTGGAAAGCAGGTTAGAGGGGTGGGAAGGGAATAGGGATTTTTTAGTAACTTTCCTCCAGGGAATGAGGATTTGGCAGTATCCTTCTCCTGCCATAGCCACAAAGCCACAGTCACAAAGCCACACTACAGCCACAAAGCCCACATTTGTGGGCCCACAGAAACGGTAGTAAAAAAATTGAATCTTACCACTGTGTTGAAGGGCTATAAAACTTGCAACTGCAAATGCAACTCTTTTTGAGTCATATCTATTGCCTACCTCACAGCAGTGGGATTCACTTATCTTCCTTACCGGTTCGCAAATGTGAGCACACGCACCACATCTGCACATGCGCACTGCCTTCTGCACATGTGCAGTGCTCGAACATTACGTTGGGGCAGGTGGGCAAAGCCTCCTGCAGCCGCTACTACTGGTTCACTCAAACCGGAGAAAACCACCTGAATACCACCTCTGCTGACTAATTGTTGTCCTCTGAATCTCTGAGGCTGTAAGTTTAGGGACCATTTTAATACATCTTTATTAATGTTAAGATCCTGGCTCCTTTCCTAGTGTTCATCTTTCTTGATCTCCAACCCACAAAAGCAACTCGCAAAGTGTATGGGAAAAATATATAGGTGGTATAATTACTTCAGAAATAAATTGCTGAGAGAGTTGTTGGTATTCTTCAGTGGAAGGGTCGCTTAGCTCATTGATGTATTTCTCTTCAGGAAGAAGAATACTGAATACAACCAACTGCTCATGAGCAGACTTCATTAGTTTTGTATAATCTCTTGTTATCTCATTACTGACCTGGCAAAGCAAACAAGCAAAAGAACAATTTGATTTAATGAATTCTAGTCATATACAACCTCCCCAGACTATATACCAAATAAATCTGTATGCTAGTTTCTTTCATGTATTACACATGGTACTGAAGTTCTCTGCTGGTTATTTGGCATAATTAATTTTTCTCTTAAATTAAATGTCTTCTCCCAAGCCCAATGTCTGCTCCTATGGAGGTCTATGAAGGGAAAAAGCAATCTTTGAAGATTTATAACTGTGTAGGTATCTCTTGACTTTGAAATGATGTGTGACCAATTTCTGTTGAAATTGTTAGTTATTTGTCTCATTTACAGATATACAGAACAGGGAAGGAGGAAATTTTATGCTGGTAATATAGTTAATTTATTTCTAACATAAACTGTAATTTTCAATATCGATTCTTTTTCTGTTATTCAAATGTGACTGGTGGTAAGATTTTCTTTCCATTACTTCCTGAGTAGAAGCAATCAACGCTTCATTTTTTAAACGGCATTATTTTGATGATGGGTCCACTTATTTTGTCCTGGCTCTCATTCTTAGTAAAACATCTTTAGGGTTAAAGCATATGTAATATATTTATCAGAAATAAAAGTGAAGAACATTCAGAATAAAAGTATTTAGAGAGGCCATTTTGGGAATGCAAGTGCTAACTGAGGAAGTGTGACAGCTGGTTCTTAGTGGCCTAGTATGGCTGCTTTTATGGCGGCACGAGTCATCAAAATGAGAGACAAAAGGGAGAGAAGAAGCTCAAAACAGCCTTGAAAAGCAACTTTAGTTTCAAGAGGTTGATCTGGTGTCTAGTTAAGGCTATAGCGGTGAGATGCTGAGAGATACAGTCCAGACTGATGTTGGATACCAGAGTCCTGAGGGGACACTCACTGCGTCAGCTGCTGGGGCACATGCTGCAGTATAACCCAAAACTGAAGAAATATAGAAGAGAGGATAAAAACTAAACTTAATCCTAAATTTATGACCATTTTGCTCAGCAGTGGTTCAAAGTTATGGTGGTACTGAACAAAGGGACTTAAGATCTGTGCCTGAAGTTATTGCTATTAGAGCACCTCCACATCATGTGATCCAAATTTGGGCATTGGCAGCCCATCCACACTTACAAGTGCAAAAGTGCTACAACTCCCCCTCCCCCATCTGCCTATCATGAATGCCCTTTTGGTCCTCTGCTGCCCATCTGATCTTCACTGTCTTCTTGCTCCTACTACTAGCAAGGCTCGCCTGGGCTTGCTGCTGGGCCATGCTGGGGCTCCACACTGTGGAAAAATAAAAAGTATACTAGAGCTGCAGTGTATCAAAAATCCCTTTACACCATGTCTCTGGGTCAGATTGGGGCTGAGCTTTTTGCTGCGGTAAAAGAAAAAAATGGGACTGTTTGTACCATGATCCTAGGTAAGACTGACAGAAAGGGAAAAAAAGTAGAGAAGGAAGAAAGGAAGAAAGAAAAAAAAGGGAACATGGTGCGCAGAGGCTTTTTAACACAGAGAAGCTATGGGTCCTCCCTCCTCTCTTTTGGGTGGCCAAAAGGCAGGGATTAAGAAAAGATAGGTGGTTGGGGTGTCTTGGAGGCAGTACCTTGCATTACTCAGACTCGGGGCTGGAATAACGAAGCTCAGAATGGTTTAGGATTGGGATGAGTACTTGCTTAATAACCAATAGTTCATGGTTAACAACAGCAATCAGGACTGCTGAGATTGCTGTCATTAAGTGATGCAGTCAAATGATTTTTTTAAATGATTGCATTCTTTATCTATGGAAATCTCAGTCCAAACTGTGGTCATAAGTAAAGGACTACATGTAGTAGAGACTGCATGTTGTGGAAAGAACTGGCTGGGAGAAAGATAAACTGTAGAATTGTGTGAGCATGTGGGTTCACAGTAGGAGAGGGAGAAGAAAATCAATTGGTAACTTCTGTGGAGAAAGGCACATCTCAGAGAGATGAAATTTCACCCAAGACCCAAAACAGGAAGGGGGGAAACAGGTGGCTGTGGATATAACTGAAATCATGGAAGTAGATAGTTACCAGAGAAGAAAATCATGTTTTGTTTTTATTAATGGGTTTGTTAAGATTTTCACTTCCTTTTAAGAATTTTCTAGCTTACTATTAAATGAAGCAGAGATAAATTAATTTTAAAGAAAACTTGATAAATTTTGAATAAAAAAACATGTTGAACTACTAGGCAGAGATTTTTAATATTCTTCTAATCTTGGTTAGCCTTTGAAGTAAAAAAAATAAAGAACTGTTTAAAAAACTTGGATGAAGCTATTATTGCTCCAATACCTCCAATGTCTATCAAGCAACATCTATAAAAATTAAAGCAACCTTATAAAGCACTTTAGCTTACTTCATGATCTTCTGTTTTTTCAGTTCTGTCCAAATGACTATCAGTTGAGACCACATCAGGAGGAGGAGGAATACTAGCAACTATATCTAAAGAAAATAATAAATGTTACCTTATTTTTAAATTAACTATTTTGTAAAATAAATAACAATCCAAGTCTGAAAAGATTATCAGGTCAAAAGAAAATAAATCTGACTAAAGCTTTAATCACATTTAACATTGACCCATTGAAAAATTGGAACCTAAGTTATTGCAGAGAAACAAATATTGACTTGGCCCAACACAACTGCAGCATTTCTCTGCCTGGAAAATGTCATTCCCTTCTATAGCTAGGGACCCTGACCAACTTCCATGTATTTTATTCACATGCAAAAGTGTAATCATTTTGCTCCATACTTTTCACTAAATCCCAAATCAGGCAACAGACAAGTTAAAGAAAACAGACCTCTCAGAGTGGTAGTATCACCAACTGGAGATGGAGTTGACATCCTAAAATTGAAAAATAAGAAAAACAAAGGGATGAAGTATGTCTGTGTGTGAACAACAAAGAAATAGATTAAATATTTTCTTTCAAAGCTAACAATCCTTATTCCCGTGGCTGTTTCAGAAAACAGAGATAAGTGGATAAATAATTCAATGCTATTTACAGAATGCATTTACAACAGATAATGAGTGGGCATATTTGTGTGTGTCACAGTTTTTACTGAAATAATATCACTATTATTGGGGAAAACTTGATCATGTGGAGATCATTAAATCCAGAAAATTATCAATTATATTTTTACTATAAGTGGAAGCAACTTTTTGCATTTTCTTTATATTATATTTCTTGTGTTTATATACAATACAATACAATAGCAAAGTTGGAAGGTACCTTGGAGGTCTTCTAGTCCAACACCCTGCCTAGGCAGGGAACCCTATACCATTTCAGACAAATGGCTATCCAACATCGTCTTAAAGACTTCCAGTGTTGGGGCATTCACAACTTCTGGAGGTAAGCTGTTCCACTGATTAATTGTTCTAACTGTCAGGAAATTTCTCCTCAGTTCTAAGTTGCTTCTCTCTCGATTAGTTTCCACCCATTGCTTCTTGTTCTATCCTCAGGTGCCTTGGAAAATAGTTTGACTCCCTCTAATTTGTGGCAACCCCTGAGATATCGGAACACTGCTATCATGTCTCCCCTAGTCCTTCTTTCCATTAAATTAGATATACCCAGTTCCTGCAATCGTTCTTCATATGTTTTAGTCTCCAGTCCCCTAATCATCTTTGTTGCTCTTCTCTGCACTCTTTCTAGAGACTCCACATCTTTTCTACATTGTGGTGACCAAAACTGAATGCAGTATTCCAAGAGTGGCCTTACCAAGGCACTGTAAAGTGGTATTAACACTTCATGTGATCTTGATTCTATCCCTCTGTTTATGCAGCCCAGAACTGTGTTGGCTTTTTTGGCAGCTGCTGCACACTGCTGGCTCCTATTTAAATGGTTGTCCACTAGGATTCCAAGATCCCTTTCACAGTTACTACTGTTGAGCAAGGTACCACCTATACTGTACATGTGCATTTCGTTTTTGTTGCCTAAATGTAGAACCTTACTCTTTTCGCCATTGAATTTCATTTTATTAGATAGTGCCCAATGTTCAAGTTTGTCAAGATCCTTCTGTATCTTTAGCCTATCTTCTGGAATGTTGGCTATTCCTGCCAGCTTGCCCCCAGGGTTCCTGTGGCTTCAACACCTGCTATCATTTCATCTCTGTTAGTGAGAATTAAGTCCAATATGGCTGATCCCCTTGTTCCCTTCTCTACTTTTTGGGAAACAAAGTTGTCTGCTAGGTTTGTTAGGAACCTGTTGGATGTTCCACTTGGTGCAGTTTGTTTCCCAGTTGATGTCAGGGTAGTTAAAATCCCCCACTACTATTGTGGTGTGCTTCCTACATACCTTAGTTAGCTGACTAGCAAAAGGTCATCTACTTCCTCTGCTTGGTTGGGTGGGCTGTAGTATAGACCTATGGCAATATCATTTCCCTCCCCCGCAACCTTTAATATTGACCCAAATGCATTTGACCCAAATGCATTCAAGATAGTTCTCATCATTGTTGTGCTCTATTTCTGTAGATAGGTAATTATTTCTTATATATAGTGCAACTCCACCTCCTCTTTTATTTGGTCTATTTCTTTTAAATAATTTAAATCCTTCTAGCTGTATGTTCCATTTGTCGGTTTCATCCCACCAAGTTTCCGTAATGGCAACAATATTGTATCTGCCCTCTTTTACTTGAATTTCTAATTCACCCTGTTTATTCCTCATACTCTGTGCATTGATGTATAGACATTTGAGTCAATTTTGATTGACCCTGTATTTACTGTCTACATAACCTGAGTTATGCCTGACTGCGGGGTGCTTAAAAACACATGGTGCTTAAAAAACATATCCCCCCAAAGTCCTTAATATAACATTTTTGTTGTGATTTGCAACTAGTTTAAAATGTATATCATTTTCCAATAATAAGAATAATAACAGTAGAATACAAGAGAAAGAACAGAAGAAAATAAAATACAGTACGAAGAAGTGCAAAGAGAAGCAGGAAAAAATAAGAAAACAAAGATAGTGTTAATAATTTAAGGAGTCTTGGGTGCACTCTAAAAACATCTTAGCATCATTTAGCAAAAAGCATAGTTTGTCCGGTCCCCACTGATGTACCTGCATGGGAATAATGGTTACATGCGGGGAATTTAGATCCTGCCTAGCTTCTCTGCTATCACTATCTCTCAATAAAAGTTCCTTGTAAAATGCTGCATGCTTTCAAGAGTTCTGCTTTCTTGAACAGATAGCTGAGGCAAACCCTTACATAGCCAGAATTTGATATTATTTAGCAATTTGTTGTATTTAATGTCAAAATTCTTAGAAGAAATGTTACAGAAATTGAGATAACTAAATGTTATCTATTTATAAATAGATGATTCATTCTAAAATCAATGATGGTACCTCAGAACACAAGCTGGGTTATTTAATTGCCTCCATTTTTCCCTTATGATTTTAAAACACAATTGTAATAATTGTAAACCTGAGAAACCTTTGTTTATGGTGAGTCTCAGTCATTCATAGTTGTCTCAAAGGTGCTTTTTCAAAAGGCAACTAGATTGCTTTTCCTCTGAGGAACAAGAAAAAGATCTTTTCTTCATCCTCAAGGAAAAACAGTCCAGTTGCCTTTGAAAAATCACCTTTGAGGTTGAGAAATCTTTAACTTCTTTGAAAATTGGATATTTTTATGAAATCCAAGTCAAAACATGGAGACTTGAATATTCCTGATAATATCCAGGCATAAGTACATTATGGAGAAATATCTCTGTTTATTTCAATTTATTCGACCTTAGATCTGAACCATTTATCTACAATTTACCAACATCAACAAAAAAAATAACTTCTGTGGAATGGTGGATATGATGTGCAGTTACATCTGTGAAATCAATGATTTCAGAGGATTAAAAAGTTTCATGAGACTAAGATTAATTAATTCAGTCAAGATTTAAGTCTAAGCAAACCAAGTGGAATAAAATAAAGCTCTAATATTCATCATAATAGAAAGATCAAATGTAACAAATAGTAGATATACTGTAAAGCTTGGTTTGGAATATATTCTTTGACTGAAGAGGAAGGAATTCAAATAATGGGAGGAAGAAGAACCTATACAGAAAACCTGCCATTTTATATTTCTTCAGGAGTCCTTCGGGAGTGGGCGGCATACAAGACCAATAAACTGAACTGAAAACTGAACTGAACTTTTGTATACTGGTTTTCTCTTTAGTAATTACATTTAGTAACATACTATCACAGTTCAATTTGTTCAAGAAAAAACAAAGTTGATTTTTAAAATAAATGTGAAATGAACTGAAAAGTTCCTGTATTATCAAAGGCATTTTCTCTGAAACAAAGAAAACTCTACATGACATTCTAAGAGGAAGCTCAAGGCTTTAGGAATTTTAATAGTTAGTTTGGCATTCACAGATAATGCTATGTCTGTTGGCCAATAACTATTATTATATATAGCTTCTACAGCACTATTCTTTATGAAGTCTTTATGAAGGCATGTTTTAACCCTGTGATGGTGAATCTATGGCACACATACAGGAAACTGGAAGAGCAGCCACCAGGTGCACATGCATGCGCTGGGAAGATGATCTTCCAGTTTCCGGCACACGCATGTGCACGAGGCAGCTGGTCTTTGTGCGTGCATGCACACCAGAAACCTGAAAGATCATCTTCCTGGCATGTGCATGAGCACCAGGTGGCTGCTCTTCCGGTTTCTGGCACATGCACATACGCACACTCCCGTTTCGGGAGCGGTCGGTGCTGAAAAGGTTTGCCAACATTGTTTTAGCCTGTGCACTAAAAATGTAGTTGACATAGTAGCTGTATATATCTTCATTTTTTACTGTGTGCATGTAGATGTATGAAACAATTTACACTGGTTCAGTGCAAATAAACTGCCCACATATCTAAATGAGAAAAAAGGATGTAGAAATGGGAACAAGTGGCGTAACAATTATTTTTTTCTTTTACTGTTTAAATTTTATAACTGCTCTTTGGAAAAAAAGAACAGCTTTTCCTGTCATGTTTAATAGAAAGTAGTACAGTATCTTGACATATAAATAAATTCTGAGTTCCCTAATTACTATTCCAGTTCAGTGTTTCTCAGTATGTCTCAACTTGGAAAGAACCCTTGACATTCTTCTATTTCTCTGGGAAGGTAGCATTTAATTTCAGTACTTGGAGATATATATTTCCTGCTTCAAAAAACTTTACATTATAAAAAAACCTATTCTGAAATTACTTGAAATTGTTTGTGGCATATGAACAGTGATCATTTTCAACAAGTCTTTGAAATGATCTTATACTTAAGAGACAGGCCACAATTAGCTCAAATTTTGATGATAAAGACTTAAAACACTGCAGAATTGTTAAGTAAATGCTGCCAAACAATAGTAAATTGGTTTTAAAACAATAAATGCTAGAGAAAAACTGAAATTATTTTGCAAATATTTGCATTTTGAAATGTGAAATTTCTCGTATCTAAACTTTAGTTAGATTACAATTGTTATTTTGCATGTAGTTTATATTATAGGCCTGCACATTCTCAAAATTGTGATTGAATATTTTTCCCATTTATTTTAATTTGTAAAAAAATATAGTTTGTATCTCAGTGACCCATTCCAGGTCACTGATATACAAACTATATTTTACAAATATTTCCCCTTTCTTTACTTGCAAAAACCATTTATGGATGTGTAAACTAAAGCAGGAATCTTCCAAAGCTGCAAATAAAGATTGAATTATTATCAATAATATCATTGTACATCTGATAACTATAATGAAATGAAAGTGATTTTGATTATGTAATATTATGGGTTCGGTTGGATAGTTATTATGTGATATCTGTGATAACATGGCAAGTGCTTTGTTCTAAATATAGTAGAATCTCTACTACATTTTTTAGCATTGAATGCGTATAGAAACATCTGATTGGTATTATAAATATGGGCCAAAATTGATTCATCTTACGTTATTAATGATGCTACTATATACAAATTACAAAAGGAATATAATTTACTAAAAAAACAACATAATCGCTACATCTTTTATTTTGGCTTTTGGTGGATTTGTTAAAAGATGTTTAAAAGTGTAATAAATGCTGCAAATTTTTATCTCAAGGACTTGGAAAAGATAAAATTATGGTTATTTTTATTTTTACAAGTTGGTTTTCCCTAGACTATGAAAGTCACTTAATAATAACATCTAGGAAAGCTAAATTAATGTTCATATCTTCAATCTGCAGACTAACTTTTTTAAATGATGCCAACATGATGAATAGAGATTAATTGTGATTTTTTTAAATAAAAAAACTAAATGCATAACCATGAAATAGCCAACGACGTTTCCAAACCTCAAGATAGATAAAAATGCTATGAATTTTGCATGTTTGACCAGCGCTATATGTTGAAGTGCTTATAAAATATGCATTAAATTCTTAATTTTTAAATTTTCTATAAAAATCTTGAACTCTGAAATAGGAAGGAAGGATGCTGTGAAACTTTAACTTATTGCAAAAACTGTCAAGAAATCAAAATAGTAGCCTAAAGTGAAATCATGGAGGCAAGGTTTCTTACTTCTGAATATGGAGTTAATCCTCAACTTACAATCATATGTTTAACAACTGTTCAAAGTTACAACAGCACTGAAAAATGTGACTTGCAACTGGTCCTTGCATTTATGACTGTCGCAGCATCCCCATGGTCACATGTTCAAAATTCAAACACTTGGCAACCAGCATGTATTTCCAGTGCTTGCAACAGCCCAAGGTCATGTCATCACCAGTTGTGACCTTTCCAGATGACTTCCCTCAAGCAAAATCAATGGAAGAAATTGGATTTGCTTAATGACCCCATGATTCATTTAACAACTGCAGTAAGTCACTTAACACAGCAAAAAAATTCATAAAATCTGGAACAACCTACTTAACAACTGCTTTGCTTAGCAATGGAAAATGTGGTTTCCAACTGTAATTGTAATTTGAGGACAACATGTACTGCAAAATATAGAAAAATATAGATACTCACCCGTCTATTGCTTCTTTAGTATAGGACACTTTCTAGAAAAATAGAAAACCGTATTTTAAATGTGGAACTGATTTTTTTAAATTTATGTTATATTTTATGTTTCATATATGTGCTTTTATTATGTGTTTATTATTATTTATTATTAAGTGAATCAAGCATTCCAAATAGCCAAACCCGTTCATTCTTATTTATTCATAAAAACATTCAAAGGAAAGCCTTCAGAAGGTTGAAGGCATTTATGTTTATAGAACTAAATACATTAATTCAATAGATGCTTACATTTAATAGCCACATTATTGGGGCATGGGACTATGTAAGACTTAAGATGAAAGGTCTAACTCTAACATATAAAAAGGGGTGGGACTTCAATTGCATTTTCATGGCAACATCTTAACTTGTGTTGACACGCCCCCTCATTCACAGTGGCCCGGTTATCAAAATTCAAACAAAGTTAAGTTTTACAAAGTTAAAAAAGTTAAAACGTTTCAGACAGAAGTTTATTTTCTAATTATGCAGGGCACATATACTATACTGTGTTTATTTGAAAATGAATTGCTTTCAATTTATATTTTTCCTAGATTGATAATTGCCTTAGTTGCTTGACTAAACTGGAATATAAAGCAAATATATATGAATATACAGTGTGCCAAATCAGATTAATTTGTACATTTAATTAAAGGAAAATCCATATATGTTATTAGTATTAAGGCAGACAATCATTAGGCAAGCCATTTTTCTTGAATCCAGTTGTTGAAAAATAAGCACTGGACACTCTGAATAGGTATTATGATTTCTAAGGCAAATTAGAGAAAGGAAGTAAATTTGAAAAATTTAGTATTCTTGGATAAGATTAATAGTTATTTCAGTTTGCTTGTATTATGTGTCCAAAGCATTCAGAATAGAACAATAAAACTAATAAAGACAGGATGTTAGCACTAGTTAGGTATGTATGGATGTATGTATCTATGTATGTATGTATGTATGTATGTATGTATTATTTAGTCTGGGTATTTTATAGACTATTTATAATATTGTTTATCAGCATACCTATAAATGGTTTCTCTACCTAAAGAATGAAAATTATTANGAGAGTAGTTAGATAGGGAGATGTTTCCAGGTGTATTTATCCATGTGCTAGAGAAGGAAATCGCTGACAATCTGCAGCACCTAAGACTTTGTTTCTGATGGCACAGCACTTGATCAATCTAATTCTCATCAATCACTCTAACAAAGAGCTTTCAAAAAGGGGGAGAGAGTTTTTGCTCTCTGATAACCTCCCCAAACTTTTCCCCACTACAAGCAAGAGTTTTTCCCTCTCTCCTGGTTGACACATGAAGAAAAAATTGGATTGAATAAAAAGGCTGAGTTCTCCATCTAAGTATTTGTGCATTATGCAAAGAATCTATGACTTAAAAAACATAATTCAAAATTACTTTAAAGAAGTAATTTCAAGGAAGCAACCAGCTTTATGCAGTTTAAGAAACATAAGACAGTTATTCAAATTGGACCACGTACAGGTTATCTATCCAACTTTATGATTTCTGGTTTGTGATCACCAGGATATGGGCTAGTTGGTGGTCTCCAGCAAGATTGACAAAGTGAAAATATTTCTTTAGAAAGCCAACATTCCCATATCCCAATATTTGGGGCATTTTATTTTTCAAGTACAATATTGGAACACCTGATACAAATACATAACATGTTGCTAGAGGTGGTTCCCAATCTGTATCTTAATTTGATCTTCAAAAACCTTTGATTATAGAGTAGTCCTCTTAAGTAAAGGTTGAGAACTGTGCTCTCCCACTCATTCACACCTACACGCAGAGATGGGTTTCAAATCCCAGCACCACCGGTTTGTTCATGCTCGCATGCACATCTGGGCAGTTGGGTGGAGCCTCCCATTGCCGCCACTACCAGTTTGGCCGATTTGGGCCAAACCGGGAACAACCCACCTCTGCTTACATGTAACAGTGATTTAGTGAGTTTATTAATATTCCCCAGCAAATTCCCTTCAACAAAAATCCAGAACTGTCCCAATTAAGTCCAGCCAAAAGTAGAATGAAGTTTTCTTCATTCAACTACTCCCCTTCACTTAACTTGCAGCCCTTGCCTTGGAGCCATTGACCATTTCCCCTTCTGACGTTTCAGGGTCTGCCTTATCCTTCCCCAAAGAGATATCCAGAGAAGCATCTGGGGAAACATCTGGGGAAGTCATCATAGGAACATTGATTTAGGTCTTCTTATCTTTGATGAGATGTATTAGATTTATCTCAGTGAGTTTTACACTGTGGCGGCGACAAGCTTTACTTTGTAAAGCAAAAAAAAATCATTTTCTTTAAGTACTGTATTGCCTTAAAACATTATGGAAAGATTGGAAACTACTGTTCAAAGAGAGTGTACTTTCTTTTTCACATAACTGTATCCTTTTTCCCACACAGAGATAACTATATGCCAAACTGAAATAACTGATATGTATATATTTAGGTAAACTATATATATATATGTGTGTGTGTGTGTGTGTGTGTGTGTGTGAGTGTATTTTGTGTCACAACTCCTGGTATGCCCAAATATGGGAGGAAGCATACTGCTTTCTTTCTCTATCAGCTGATCCCAAGAGACCATCCAGACAGAAAGCCATTATTTTTACTGTTGCCTTTGTTACATTTGTGCTGATAATTAAATAAAGGGAGATATACCTTTTACTGGGATTTGAACCTGTGCTGTATTATTTATCAGCACAAATGCAACACAAATGTAGCAAAGACAACAGTAAAAATAGTGGCTTTCTGTCTGGATGGTCTCTTGGGATGAGCCGATAGACAGAGAAAGAAAGCAGTATGCTTCCTTTATTTAATTATCAGCACAAATGTAACAAAGGCAACAGTAAAAATAATGGCTTTCTGTCTGGATGGTCTCTTGGGATCAGCTGATAGACAGAGAAAGAAAGCAGTATGCTTCCTTTATTTAATTATCAGCACAAATGTAACAAAGGCAACAGTAAAAATAATGGCTTTCTGTCTGGATGGTCTCTTGGGATCAGCTGATAGACAGAGAAAGAAAGCAGTATGCTTCCTCCCATATTTGGGCATACCAGGGGTTGTGACACAAAATACATACCTATTTGTTCTGACCCCCCCTTGACAGCTCGTTAACAAACACAGGCAGG